ACGTAAACCTTTGATCGGTATAAGGGTAAGGGTTTCCATATTTCACATATGCAATCCTTGTGAGAGGACCATTCATTGGATAATTACAACTTTGCCACTTTGACCTTGCAGTTTGACCTACTTTTCAAAATCAAACTTGACCATAACTTTTGAAGGGTTAGGACTAGGGCTTTTGTTCTTCACATATTTAATCATTGTGACAAGACCTTTCATTGGATACTAACAATCCTGAGCTTGGAGTTTGACCTTTTTAAAAACTTAAATCTTAACCATAACGTTTGAACGGTTAGGGCTGTGGCTTTCGTACTTTACATACTAGTATAAATTATGTAATCATTGTGACAAGATCTTTCTTTAGAAAGCAACAACCTTGACTCTTTGACTTTGACCCTGGAGTTTGACCTACCTTTCAAAAAACTTATCCTTGGCCATAACTTTTGAACAGGACATAACAATAGATATACACATATATAAACCAAGACCCAGATACCGGTGCTTCTCCCATTAAAAAAAATCAAGTGGTATTTTTTGTATTTTACAATGAAATGTTTGTATTTATGACATTTTTTCATTTAATTGTTCTTTCAGTTGCAATTTACGGTGATTAATTTTCATGGGTACATAAACGGGGAATAATTTCTCTATTTCCCGACAAAATTAAGAGAACCATTTCCAGTGTCCAGCATCAAAAAACTTGAACAAGTGGTAAAGAATTTCGTAAATTTGGTAAAAATACCCTTATTCATTTACCTGTTTGCCTCCTAGAAGCTGATGTACAGAGAAGTTTTTCAAAGCATACATTTCCTCAATGATTGAATTCTAGTCATTATTTAACTAAAGTTACTAAGTCTGGTCACTACCAGCTTTGGATTCTGAATCATTCTACATTTTCCAGAGAGTGCTCATCACAACCCTATGGCCTGTAATTATTAAACTTGCATGGATGGTGTATAAGGACAGGTACTTCCAGATTTGCTGGTGAAGTTAGAACTGACCGAAATTTTCTTGATGAGCAAACAGGTGAAAGCTTATCTTAGAGCGAGTTCATTTCCAAGTCACAACAAAGTCCTTGCATGGATATGGGATATTGATCTTGGGGTGTACACTAAGTAGAGAATCAAAGTACTGAAAGTACTGAAAAGAGGTTAGCATGCTTTCATCTAATATGTACCGAAAAAAGTGCATGAAATGATGATATTTAAGTATGCATATCTTTGTCCAATGTCATCAGAGAACAAAAAAAAAAAAAAAACCCAGACATTCTGTTTTTGTAATACTTTACTTAATAGTAAAACCAATAACATTCCAAACTGATGTCACAGATGGATGCAATCTAATTAAAATTAGATGTTCCGAATCCGCTACTGCTTCTCAAACATCTAACAACATCCTATTTGGGGTCATGTAAGAGTAAATCTTCGATTAGCCAAAGAAAATAGTTCCTCCGAAATCTTGGCTTATAGTTCAGATGGATTTCTTGTTTTCACCACCGAACCAAAACACCCGAGGAGTTTTGTAGTAAACAAAATATGCATTGCAAAAGCTGTGTTATGTATGACGTGTGGGGTATCTTGTATAGTTTGTGCTCTTTCGTTTGCATTATTCACGTTCAGATGCCAGACTGCAGACTATACATGAAATTTATTCCAAAATTACTTTAATTCAACGTAAGACAGCATCAATAACGATGTTATGTAGCCGTGGAGTTAATTTGAGAATTGTTTACCGAGGCTTGAATCTATATGGCCAAAGTGTTTGTGTTTACTGGTATATGTATTCATAATCGAAAGGTCGCTCTGATGTGACCCCGAATGGGATGTTAGATGGTTGAGAAGCGGTAGCAGATTTGGAGCATTTAAATAAATTTTAATTAGATTGAAATGCATGTTTGAAATTTAAACATGAGATTTCTTCAGTTTGAAAGACAGGAAGTGCATTTTTAAAAGTTCTCTCTTGGTGGCATCCAATCGTTCTCTGGATGAAAACAATTATGTTGATGCTGAAAATTTAATTGTCTTTCATGCTCTATTGAATCTGAAATTAGGTAATTGTAAAGCCTACTATAGCAAACAACTAAGAAAATGACAAGTTAAATTCTTTAGATTAATGGATTTGGAGTAGTGTAGATCTACAGTTGGCTAGTCAGAGAAAAAAGGATGGCTGAGCAGAGACTTTGTAAATGAATTGATATCAGAGAGCTCCAGATGTGTAGGCTCACTGCGGGTGTAACCTGTCAAGAGGGATGCTTACTTCTTCTAGGCAACGGAGCCCATCTCTTGAACTTTCAGGAATCAGCTTTTCATCTTAAATCGATCATTGATCATTCTGTATTTTGATACAGATACTGAATACTTCCGTTTAGTAATATTATGAACTACTACTTCTACGGGAAGACTGGCGAGTAAACAAGATTATCAAGCTTTATGAAATGTACTTTATTGACTTTTCAAACAAGTAAATGTTCGAATAAAGTAAATGGTATATGAGAATCATTTAAAAGAAGTCTTGTACAATATGTCTAGATAAGGACATATAAGGTGTATTTGCCATATACTCTTCATGCAATATTGTTCTCAAATAAAACATGTGAAAAGGAAAGTTGTCAAATCAATCAATACTAGTATTTAAAAATTCAAATGTACACTAAAAGTCAGTGTAACTTAAGAAGTTATCAGTGTCACTTTCTTCAATATGTCGGATAAACAATATACACTGATTTCTTTTCTAACAATGTGCCTCTAAACACCTGTATTTTAATTTAATTCTTCTTAAACACTCAAAATAATAATCGACAAATTGGACAAATTCAAATTTAAAAAGTATTTTCTCAGCTAATAATACATTCCTTAGGAATTGATCAAATTTTCAAAACTTATAAATAAGCATTAAGTATATATTTTAAATTTTTGCTAATTGCCAAGATTTTTCATACCTTATTCTTCTGTGAATAATAATATCGGTTGATTTTTAGAAGAGAATCACAATGCCGATTAAAATTAATATATATTTATCCATTTTTTTTTCAAAATTAATTTTACTACTTTAAGTGCCCCATTATATTTTTTCAAAACTAAAAGTAAGTAATCCCTTATGATCGTTTGTCATAAATTATCAAAGACGGAGTAGAGAATTTACCCCTGGGAGCAGAGCTTTTATAATCTGTTTATTAGACAGAGAAGAAAAGAGAAGAAAACAAACGTTTCATTGTGGAGGTAATCCTATTGTTTCCATAAAAACGTTACAAAAAGTGTAAAACGTACAGATGTATTCGGTGTTTTTATAAAAGCGTTTTTCAGGTATTACTTAACAGGTGTTTCTTAATACTTTGGCACGGAAAATCAAACTCGATCGAGAGATTTGCTGATGTTTTTGCAGTCTGTAATAACCTTCAACCTGCTGTATAATTAACCGCATCGTTCAACTTTCAAAAATAAACTAACAGTTGCTATAAATCGCGATCGCACGATGTACATGTAATAAGGACCAAATTCTCAGTTCTTTGAAGTTAGTATTCTAAGTATTGTCAATGCTTTGGTAAATACTAATAAGAATTCGATATAATCGTTATATACACAGCTTATTGTCAATCTCTCACCAGGGGGCGTATTACGCCAACAGTATACAAATCATAGGAAGCGCTTTGCTGAAGTTACCGTTGTCGATAGGTAGCGCCTTGTGGAAGTTTCCGGTTAAGGTTGCAGAAGGATAAGGTTACGTGCCATAAAGCGATGTGGATAGGTAGCGCCTTATGGAAGTTTCCGGTTTTTGGAGGCCCATGCCATAAAGCGGTTAGCTAGCTAACCGCTTAAAAATTGTGAGATTTGCCTTCGTCGAGGTGAGCTTCGTAATCTTTGATTACCTGTGTTTTTTAATTTATGGAAAGCTACAGGCAAATAAGTTGATGTTAAAGAGAGTCCAATAGTGGCATTTAAAGTCGGCATTTTTATAAAATTATATTGAAGCTAATATAGAATTTGTAAGCATTCATTCATTCCATCTGTTCGTATTTTGACTGACATATCCCATACCGATTAATAAGCCTATGTTTTAAAACTAAAGTTGACTAAGAATTCCGGATTTGTGTAAATGAGAGAACTGGCTCTCTTGGTTTGTACGATGTCGTTTTTCAATGTCTCTTTTTTCATTTGCCTCAGGCATGCTTTACTGTAAATATTTCATGCTTGTTACATCCTCTCTATACTGTTGTTACAGTTTAAGAGGATAAACTATTGTCTACTTGATGAAAAATGCATAGGGCTTACGAGTGTGACCGTTCGAAAGAGGACGTTTATTCCTCCTGAGTACCTGATTCTGCTTATGGAATATACAGGGGGTCTGCTGTTCTCAGATTCTTTTTTGGGGGGGGGGTTGAGATCAATCAATGTTACCTCCACATTTCTTAATATAATGTACATGTATGTTTGATGTGATTTTTCCCTATATGCCTGTGAATGAATTCGCCATCTTTTTGCATAGCACACTATCACACGTTTACATGTATTATACTTAGCAGTAAGGATGACGACTTACAGAGCTGCCTACTAGTACCGTGGCAGATTGGTGTAGCTATCTTCAAATTGCCAATCAGACACCGCCTTTACAAAATAAGTTTCAATTTAGTACTAAAACAAGCAAATTACTGATTAAAGATCAAGATTAGAAAGCTTAATTATACAATACCATTGACTGAAAAACAAAATGTACTAGTATACCCAGATATGTTATGCAAGTTATGTGGGGCATCATATATAGTCAATTGTCGCTATAACAGAGCTTTGTTCTTTTTCATTTAATTTTACAAGTTTTTTTATTTCGTTTGTTACGTAGATATGTTATTCAAGATACATATGAAACATAGTAGAAAAAACAGCAGTATTTGCACTTCCAATGGAAAACATGCATATATACTAATACTCATTGCTTACGTCCATGTATGTTCATTGAATTGCTTATAACGTAACTTATCATTCACCTTGTACTAAATTATGAAAATCAAGTAATAAGATTTTTCTTCTTTATTTCACTTTGGCACATTATTTTGCATTAAGCAGATTGTTCCTTATTTTTGCATAGACTGGCACTGTGGCATACAACATTCCTAGAAAAATTATGGATCCGCCAGCTGCGAGGAATGTGTTGTCGTAAGAACCTGAGCTGTCATATAACCAACCTACAAGGAAAAAAGTATATATATTATCTTTTAGTTACACTGTTAGAGAGAGAGAGAGAGAGAGAGTATTTATTGTACCTGCAAATGGTGGTCCGACTAAATTAGCTATTCCCTGAAGAAACATCAATATACCATAGCCATCCGATAATTTTGAAATGCCTAATATATCTGCTACCAAGACACAGGATAAGGCTTCAGAAGCTGCAACAAAGAATCCGTAAATCCCGTCAAATGCTATGAAAGATAAATAATCCTGGGATAACGGCACCAATGCTAGGCCAAGGCCAGTCATCCACATTGACACGCAATAAAGAATGGAACGATTGACTTTCTTCAAGTCACCTAGAAAGCCAAACACTATATTTCCAACTGTATGAATGATACCAGTGCTAGATACTATCAAAGCACCTCGAGATTCTGATTCACCTATTTCCAAGGCGCGATCGACTGTGAAAACATAAGGCACGTCATACCATAAATAAAGAATAAAATTAGAAATGAGAAAAATCACGAAACGCCATTCACGCAAGACGGTAACATCAACAATTCTGCATATTCTTTGTTTACATTTACTTTCACTTTGTTCATGAAACGTTTGTTTAGAGTCTGAAAAATCTCCATCAATCCTTGCTATTTTTGACAACGAAGATATGCTACCACCCAGAAATGAATTACTCTCAGTTGTTATATGTCGCTTTCCTATATTCAAATTTTCAGTTGACTGACTTTCAAGTCTGAGGTGATTTTTCTCTACAAAACTTTCAAAGAGGATTTCATTTTCAGTATTATGCTGAATTGCTGGTAATGTTTCTGAAATTGAGTTTCCCTTGTTATGCTGACTATATACCGATATACTTTGTTCTCTTTTACTGCAGATTGGAATTGGTCTGAACAAAGCACCACAGAGCACAACATGGGAAACAATAGCACTCATAACCAACAATGCTCCTCGCCAACCATATTCGGATATTAGAAACTGTAAGAGAGGCGCAAATATCAGAGTGCCAACTCCTGCACCACACTCGGCCAAGCCTGTTGCCAAAGAGCGTCTCTTTTTAAAATACATCATCACAACAACGGACGAAGCCAGGTACGGAAGAGAAATTCCAAATCCTGCAACACAACCATAGGTTAATCCCAAAGCACCCAAAGAATTCACAAATACACTCATTATCATTCCTGATGCGGCTATTAATGCACCTGCTATGGTGGCTTTCCTGAATCCAAAACGCTTGGCGATAATGCTGGCAACAGGACCAAAAAGAAGTGGTGCTGCATTAAACACAGAGCCGACCCATGCAGTCGAGCTGCGATCTGCGTGGAAATATTCCAACAGATGTGTGAATAAAACTCCGAATGAGTAAGAACACCCGTCCGTAATGACGTTGATCATGAAGGCGCCAAATACCACCATCCAACCCCAACCGCCATCTAGAGCTGTGTCGTCTGCTTTCTCTGATTCTGAAGAATTACAATCAGTAGCATCATCTCCACCCTCCATTTCAGTCTCAACTGTAAAAAACCAACAGTGTGTTACAAACTCTTATTGCCAAAATACTGTAACCGTTTGTTTTTCACGGTGTCAAAATACCGCGAATAGGCAATTTCTATTTAATCTGCGGGTTTAAAATAACGCTGATTTCTCGGATTGCTTTTTTTTTGTGTCATTAAAGCAAAGTAACTAGTACGCTGTGACAATTGTACGCGTACATATTGTAAATTACTTTTTAGCGGAAAGTATTGAAAATTAAAACTGGATGTTGCTCATTTGTAACGCGACATCGCCCCTTCTCCTCTCCACATCACTCTATGGTATAATCAACAGGGCTAATATGGTGTTGTATTGATAAAATTTCATTTTTAAAGAAATTAGAAATGAAACACCCTACCCAACACGCCCCCTAACATTTTTGAATTGAGATATATTCTTTCTTTTTCTTTCTCTCATTTTTTTTTTTTTTTTTTTGGTTTAAGTTTTTACAATTTTTTTGGCTGTCCCCCTCCTTCTCCCCCAACTTCCAATAGCGAGACTTTAGCTTAAACTTTATTCATCATATATACACAGTACATATTACAAACAGGATTCGGAAACAAGTTGTAACAACTTATATTAATCCGTTTCCTTAAATTAACTTTCAACTATAAATAATTATTTGCCCTTGTTGAGTGACAGGTATAATAGGAAAAATAACAGATGAAAAATAAAAATGAAACAAAATGAGAAGAAAAAATAAACTGTAGAGAGAATATCATAACATGAATTAACATTGATAGTAAGTGAGGAATAAACTCAGTCATACAATACAGTACAAAATCAAACATAATAGCAATACGGCCACACGTAATATTCAAGTTACAAATCTTTTAGAGGCAGAAATAAATTGATGCACATGTTTAAAAATGTTGGTATTGAAGGAATAATTCTTAGTAGAATCTCCAAATAAGAGAATGTGTAAAGTGACTGGTCCTAATGGGTCAATGAATTTTTTCCTTGAGTCAGTGTATAGAGGACATTCTAATAAAAAGTGTGTTGTTGTTTCAATTTTTCCACAAGCACAATTAGGATTATCTATTATATGTTTTGCAAATAAATGGGAATTAAGTGTACTACAATTAAGTCTAAGTCGTGTATGTAAAATTTTTTCTGTGCGCTTACCAAATAAGCGAGACTTTGGGCCATAAATCAGTACGCACAGGCAGACAATCATTAAGCTTTCATAAAAAAGTTTTCTTAAGCCTCTGGTTCAGGTGAGATTGAAGAATTTACTATAGAAATGACATGACTACCCTTGCCTAAAACTGAACTCAAACATCACCATCTGCAACAGATCAATTAGCTATCCATGCACACGTATGGTACTTTTTCAGATTTGTGTTTTGTTTTGTTTTGTTTTTTCTTTTAAAACACTGCATGTGTGATAGAGCTATTATAGTGAACATTCATAACGACAAATTCAATGTTCGAACGAGTCGTGTAACTTAAAAAGCAGATTTATAAGCCATAGATTTTTTAATCCTCAAAAATAATATTTACACGCATCGCTAATTTTCCAACTTAGTGTGTTTTATACCCTCGCCACACACAATACGTTGGATAAAAATCGCATCCAACTACAAATCATGGGAGATCCTATATACCAACGCTTTAAACTATACAGTTCAAGTTGAACTAGAGGAAATATTCAGGGTTTTAACCTACCTTAAATCTGTTTCACAACAGTCAATGGTAACAAATGTCACTGTTTTTCCTCGTTAACGTTTTTCAAGGATGCTAATAAAAGCATAAATTATAAAGAGGCCTCAAATGGGGGTTCAAAAATCCATGCAGTGATACATTGTAACTAGCAGCAGTTTGCCAGGGGCGGATACAGGATTTGTGGTTAGGGGGGGCGTGGATAACTTTGTTGAGGCAAGAGGTCTGGGGGCCGCCTTAAGGCCCCCAGTGGGTCCAGGGCGAAGCCCTGGTGGGGGCCCAGGGGGCCAAGCCCCCGGAAGCTCCTGGGTTTTCGTGTATTTTAGAGTAAAATCAGGCACAATAATAGTGCATATTTTTCAATTATTTTTGTTAAAAGTATATAGCATATAGGTGGTGGCCCAGGGGGCGAAGCTCCCGGAAGCTTCTGGGTTTTCGTGTATTTTAGAGTAAAACCAGGCACATATTTACCAGTGCATGTTTTTCAATTTATTTTTGTTAAAAGTATATAGCATATAGGTGGGGGCCCAGGGGGCGAAGCCCCCGGCTCCTGGGTTTCGTGTATTTTAGAGTAAAACCAGGCACAATAATAGTGCATATTTTTCAATTACTTTTGGTAAAAGTAAATAGCATATAGGTCCGGATGTTTAAATAATAAATGTATTGAATGTTTCTCAATTCTCATGGTATTGTAACACATGTCACTATATAATAAACGATTTACTTACTTATTACTTACTAATAGTGGTATTGGTTAGTGATGTACCAAAGTACGACGTGTTTAATACTAGTCATGTCATACTTTGAATGGTGGGGGCCCAGGGGGCGCAGCCCCCGGAAGCTCCTGGATTTTTGTGTATTTTAAGAATAAAACCAGGCAGAATAACACTTATTTGGTTAGTTTTGTACCAAAATGTGGCTTTATAAATATTTGTCACATCATACTTTGAAAATTTTAGGGGGGGGGTGCGCCCCCCACGCCCCCCCTTAAATCCGCCAGTGTTTGCGATACTTAGTATGTGCCAATTTTGTTAAAACAGTCTTTTTTTGATTTTTTTAAGTTAAAAAGTTATAATTCGTGTAGTTATGGAATATTAAAGAGTTAAGTGAACCGTACGTTTCACATTTATTCAATGTGTATACTACAGTAGTATTTATATTGCTTGAATGAATGCAGAGTATAATTCTTGTAGGTGGTTTTGTGTGATTTAAGTTTGTAGGACCTGAACAAGGCTCCATGGCGTTTAAATTTATCACAGGCACTTGTTAAATAAAACTAATTATATATCCAATAAAAATACATTATACAGTGTATAAAGTACTCTTTAATGCATGTTTTCATTAGATAGCTATGGTTAGACCATTGAAAAATTCAAGTGCACGCGGATCCAGGATCCTTTAAGGGGGAGACCAGGGCCTAGGACTACTTAATAATCAAGACCCCTTTTGTGTGAATACCAAAAAATGGCTTAACACATGTATTTATCTTAATTCTACTTTGGGTTTTAAAAGAGAGACACTATCCCCTACCCTCCTCTAAATCCACCAGTTAATTTTACAGTCAATATTATAATTATTTTAAATGGTTAATTCATGTAAGGATCAGAATGATTATTTGAGAGAGAGAGAGAGAGAGAGAGAGAGAGAGAGAGAGAGGAAATAACTTGTAAAGGGAAAATATATACTTTTAGATATTTCGTAGGTGTTTACTTTATAGGCCTAATGCTTTTATGCAGAATTTATTGCCACAACCAGGATTTCAAACTTGTCTTACGTTTTCGCAGTGCATCACGCAAAATTGAAAAATTGTCAAGTATTTTGACATTAGGTTCCTCCATGCAACTTTTGAAAAGGATAGTGCATAAAAGATAAAAGGAAAAAGCAGTCTGGGCCTCCCCAAAGAAGAGCTCTAAAGAGTAAAACAAACAGATAACATTTATACTACGTAGAGACTGTAAAACTATTGTGGATTTGATATCACATGCACGTAGTTCGTTATGAGCAAAAACATTTATACGTCAGATAACATCCCTGGAATGTGGAAATAAAACTGTTAATTTAAATTTTTGCATAGTTTTAGAAAGAACCCCGACAAAAAGAATATTGTCCTCTACAGAATCCAGAAGTTTTAAAAATGAAAATATGTACTAGTATTTAAACTTAAAGAAATCTAAAGTTGTAGAGGCAAATATATTTGGTGCCACAAAAATCGATTTTTGAACAATGTTTATGATCCACGCGTACGGATTGGTTTTGAGGTCTGAAAAAAAAACACCTCACGGATCACAAATTTGTTACGGCTGTGTCGGCAGGGCATAGGGTTGGATGGGATGGAGACGAATTAAGTGGAATTCAAATTAGAATTGTGGTCCTCCGCTTTCGGTGTCATAGTGCCGGGTGATATTCCATTTATTTATGGCACATTATGTCAAATATGAACACCCTATCATTTTTCATTTAAAAGTAATCACCAAGTTAATGTTTTGAAAATTAGGTCAAACTTGGAGGTCAAAGTCAAGGGGTCAAATACTATAGCATGCTTGCATTGAAACATCTTATCACAAGTAATGCAAACGTCAAGTATAAAGGCCTTATCTCTTCTCAATCAAAAGTTGTTAGAAAAAAATCCTTTTTGAAATACAGGTCAAATTATCTTCATTATGTGAAAAATAGGTCAAAATTCCGGGTAATTTAAAGGTCACAGGGTAATTATTTGGGGGGGGGGTGGGTTAATTGGAAAGATCACATGTAAATATACATATGAAATATTAGTATGAAAGCCCAATCTCTTTTCATTCAAAAGTTATGACCAAGGTTTAAGTTTTTGTGACAGAATTACAGACGGACAGACGAATGAGATTTAAAAAAATGTCCCCTTGCTTTCGCGAAGGGGGGGGGGGGAGCAAAGAGTGAAACCAGTGAAAAAGAACGAACTTGTAAAAGAGATAGGGATAAGGTCAAGAATCCTCTCAACAGCGAGCTTGAAAATCAATGATATTTAAGGAAAAAATTTCTTTTATTGAATTTTGATCTGCTATTTTCTCACGCTATAATTAGGAGACTGTCGGAGTGAGATTTGTATAGCTGCAGAAATGTAGCTCTCCGAAAAAATATATATTGACAGACGGGAGAGCTACAGTGCCACCCATAGAAAAAAACTGTATATTTATTGCGCACAAAAAAGTGCGCTGTTTCTCGATTTATTTCTCAGTGTTTTTAAAACTGTCATCTCAAAATATCACTAGAAGTGTGTTTCTAACATATTCTTTTACTGTTTCCACAATAAAACATTCCTTATAATTGTTTTTTAATAGCCCTC